CCCATTAACCCAAATAAGAATAGCTCCGCTTCTCTAGACAAGCCTTTGAGCCTAAGGTAAGAGCCGCCTCCTATGACACCTCTTTCCTCCACTGGGTCAAGGAAGCTTTTCCACATTTGTTTATGGAGGGCCTTGCTCTAGGAGTGAGGTCAGAGTTGGGTTCCATCCTGCAATGAGCCCTTTAATTCCCTCCCACATTCCAAGGTTCGGCATGCTGGAACCTTCCTTGGCCCTGCAGGCATCCCTCCTTCCTGATCCATCTCCTTCAAGGAATGCCCCCGCCAAACCCCTCTCCCAACTCAGGAAAGGGAACTGTAATCTTTGACTTGGAATCCAGAGCCCTTTAGTTACTCTGACACAGAATTCTTTTAGTTACCTGGGAAGTAAATCTCACATCTTGGGGTTGTTGTTTTTTTCTAAGGTAAAATAAGCCAAAAGATGCAGTCAACATGATTTTTATTGCAAATCTGGTTAGAAATAGAAGAGTGTCAGTTTGAAATTTAAAAAAATTAAAACACCTAGTGAAAAACAAGTGTCTGTGTTTCCGAGAAGCAAAGATTTTTTTTTTTGTATTTATGCTGTAATGAAAACACTGCCTGTGTTTGGATGATGGGGGAGGTGGGGAACAGAAAAAAAGTCTTGGCTATAATTATCTTTACTGTCTGTAAAATTAAACAGTATCCACATTCAAGAAACTGAAGATGAAAACACAACAAAAACACAACAATCTTTTTATTTATGTAAATCAGATCAACACTGGACAATAAACCAATTTCTACCCATTACCATAACAGTTTGTCTATAAAGAACAGAAAAATTCAGATAGAATTCTACCTAGGGTCAAGCGTTTTTTTTTTTTTAACCACCCATTCACAGAGGTATAGATTCACAGATAAATAATCCCAAACTACTTGCTCGCCATATTTACACATTCCCATTAAATTAAGCATAAATAAATATATACAAACTTAACATGGACACCCTCCAGAGCTCTTCTCCTGAAGAGACAATATTTCTCGATTGTGTGGCAAAAACAATATTAGTGAATTAAAGACCAACTCAAAAAAAAAATAGTGTTGCTTTGGGTATTTCAAGAATAGTATTCATTCTGTTTTTTTGAAAGGAAACAAAACGAATTTTGATTTTTTTTTAACCCCGATCATTTCACATACATCAGCACGGAGGGAGAACACTGTGTGGGTTCTTGAGGCAACATCAGATGGTTTAAGGTTATTATTCTCCTTTGACAATGTATTATACACAGTATATCAGATGTGATGACAAATCCTCTCTAAACGTTCTAAAGTAGAAGTGAGTGTGAGTTGCCCTTGTAAGTTAGGTTTGGGACCGGAAGAACAGTGTGTAGAGAAGTTCGGGGTTTCGGGTTTTCCATCTGACCAAACTTTTTTCATAGCGTGTGAAATAACTGCTTCAGAGAAAGTGGTTTCCTTGGCCAAAGAAAATAAAACTGCCAGGTCATTGAAAGCTTCTCTGGTTCTTTAAATGGGGAGGAAGAGAGCTAAGGAAATAGATCCAGAGCACAGGGAAGAAATGCAGGACCACTAGGGTGGAGGGTGGGAGAGAGAAGGTCAGCATCTCAGTTTGGGTGGCAAAATTCAAAATCCCTTCCTTCATGGCATCCTTGCACAGGACAGCCTCCCTTTCCTGCCTTGCTCCCTGGAGCTCCACCAGATACTTCAGCCAGAATGGTCTGAGACTTTTTGAACCTCCGAAGGAACTTGCAAAGTGGCAAGAAGTGTGACGGACAGCCTGCCGCATCCCGATTCCCTGCGGTCCTTTTCGCTATTTTGGTTTGGGACCGAGCGTTTCAGGAGAGGGCACCGAGGCAGTTGGAAGTCGAACTGCGACTCACCTGTTTGGTGTGAAAACAAAGCTCAAAGGGGGTTTGCTCTCGACGTTTCCCTTGACTTAAAAGGCAAACTCTTGCGTTAATCCTACTGTTTATTGATTTATGGGCCCAAGGAAACCAAATCTTTTAATAACTCAATTATCAGATCAACGTAGCGGGGGCCCGGCTAACGAAAGCAAGCGGGGGTGGGAGTTGGACATGAAAGGAGAACTGAGGAAGGGAGAGGGGGGCGGTGGGCTCACCCCCCCCCACACACACACACACACACACGAGAGTGGTGGGGTGCAGGGGAGGCGCTTCGGGCCCCAGGGGCTGGCGCTGCGCTTGGGCAGGGACCACGGATGCTGCGCGCGCCTGGAGAGCCGAATCAGGCCAAGCCTGTCCCACCCACCCCCGGCCTCCAGGGGCGTGGAGGGGGGTGGGGAGGGAGTTCTCGTTCTGGAAAAGACGGAGAAGCTTCCGAGTCCCTGGACAATCTCTTTTAAAGTCATTCGCTCCCTGGGACTGGGCAGGTGCGGTGGCCCGCAGGTTAAAAGGGGCCTGAGATCTCATCCCATCTGCAGCCCCCCGGGCGCCGGCCCAAGACCTACTGGACACCCGGGGGTGGGGCTTTCTCGGTGGCCTGAGCCCTGTTAGGGTGAGACCGAGAGCGGAAAGGGACCCCCCCACCACCACCCTCCAGCCCGCGGCCCCTCCAGCGGCTGATTGATTCTATGTCCTCAACACGACTGGGCGCGAGTGGCCCACACGCTCTCAGGACCTGCACGTCACACGCGTGGGGCGCGTTGCCCTGCAAGGAAAGGAGACGATGGTTTTCAGTGTGATTTCTCCCGGCCTTGTGCAAGCAGAATACACCTAATGCGAGCGGCCAGGCCCTCGGACCCAGGCCAGGCCAGGCGGCACAGGCTCCTGGGCTGGGGCTGGGGAGGGGTGGAGTGACCACACTCCACCGGAACTTCTAGCCCTTCTCAGCATCTCTAGGCTGGAGCCCGTCACAGGCACACACAGTTCCCCACCCTAAACACACACACACACACACACACACACACACCTAAAAAAGCTGGCGGTAGGAGATGGGGAGCAGAGGTGTGATCTTAATTCGCCTGTCTTTGGGCCACCCTGGTCTTCTGCAAATTGATCCCTAAACTCTCTTCCCCGCATAAACATGCCCCCCAAAAAGACCTTGGCTGATTCTTAACCTCCGCCCCTCCCCCCCACCACCACCCTCTCCCCCAGGAAGGCCAACGCCAGTGGGGGCTGCAGAACTGATTCCCCGCGGACCCTCACTGTAAACACTGCCCAAAAAAAAAAAAAAAACACAAATCAGAATCTTTGTCTTCCAGGGACGTTGCAAAAGCGCTAAGGTCTACTGCAAAGAGGTGCGTGTGTACTGTCACTAAATTTAGAGACCTAGCTCACCCACCTCTACCCCCTGGGGGTAGAGGGGTTCCCCACTGAGTTTGAGAGGGCGGGGACAATGGGTTCCCGGTCTTATTTCAGGACAACAGTGTTCAGTTGGAGCCCACCCAAAGGGCTGTACTGCCAGAAGTCAGAGATGCTCAATGCAAGAAACTTTATCCACTGGAACTAGTCCCAGCGCATGCAGACGGTCAATTTCAAAGTCAAAATTCACCTCCTTTCATTGTACATGATTTTACCATCATTTGCCAAAACAACTGCAAGTGGGGGGAGGGGGGAGCACCAGATTCATAGAGCATCTTGTGAGAAAGCAATCACTGCGGAAACACAGATGCAGGCACCATCCTCCCACCCCCGGCGACCCGCAAACCTTCGTCTTTCACCATTAAAACAATTCTCTAGAAGCCCAAGGAAAGGGAATCCAGTTTAAAGTCAAGACAAGAGTTAAAATATTGGGCTCCAGTAGCTTTTCCTTTCTTCCCCTGAAATTCCTTTTTTTTTTGTTTTTGAGACGTTTCCTCCCCCTGAATTCCACATTGAGGTATCTGTTAGCAACTAGTTTCAGAGTTGCTTCTGTCTCTTATTGGCCACTTCCTAAATTATTCCCTTTGAGCTTCTTTAAAGAAGTGCACCTGCAGAATTCTGACACACAGGCTTTGATTTTAAAAGGGATTGGATTTTTTTTTTCTCTGTACCTTATAGATTGTGTAGGAAGCCCAAGTCCTCTTTGAAGAAGCTCATAAACCATGCGGGCAAAGCTTTGGAAAACAGAAGAGAATGAAATGCTACATACCCCTCCGAAGGAATTACATACTAATCAACGTATTTATATTGGTTTGTTTGTTTCTGTTTTACTATAGTTCTTAAAATTAGCAGATGACACACAGCTTATAACAAACGCAAGGTTTCCTGTATGCAGATGCTCGCAAGTTAACTAGGAACATCTCTGAAAGGAACTGATGATGAGAATGATCAACTTATATTGGTCCGGATTTTGCCTCAGTCTCAGACGTAGGAGCCTCTGTTAGGCGGGCCCGCACCCAAGGCAGCAGCAGCCCCGGCCTGCCCCTCGGTGGTCCCCGCCAGCCCTCACCCTCCTAATTACGCAAACGGCCCAGGAGTCGGGCGAGTTCAGAATGCAGGGGAGAGGTGGGGAGGGGTGGGACAGGGGGTAGGGGGTGGGAGGGGGGGTGTTAGGTCTGAAACACAACGCAAAAGGTCTAACCACACTCAATTCCATCCCGGATGATGCCCGTGACTGCTGGAGGAAAGGAGGGCCACGTAGAAAGGGGTGCTTGGGAGAGGGGTGAACTGGAAGGGCGGGAGTGCGAGAGATTCCTAAAAAAATATTAAAAATTAAAAAGTTCGTGCGTCTCAGTCAACCAGCTCTCAAAAGCACTGACACCAACGTTTCTCCGATTTTTTTTTCTTCCAATAAGTTAGCGTTTTCTCATGTTTAGTCTTATGTTTATTTTCCAAAGGGGGGGAGAAAAATCATGGTTTCTTTTTTTTTATTATTATTATTATTATCAGTATTACTAAGCTCGAAAGAACGGAAGTGGAAAATCCGGATGGTTGTCTCCAAGTTTATCTTGAAATAGACACTGAGAACCGGTATTGCTGCTCCGTTGTACGCCTCAGTTTTGTTTTGTTTCTCTCTTTTTTTGTTTGTTTGTTTTGTGTTTTTTTAAAGTTATTTAGCCTTTTTTTTTAATTTTTTTTGATTGTATGTGTATTCTACCTAATATAATTCTTCCAAAGCCAATCCAATAGTTTAAAGCTAAAAATTAAAATTTTTTTTTCTGTTTTCCATTTGTATTTAAAACATCTTTCCTCTTTTTTTTGTTTTTAAAAATGTTTCATTTCCTGTGTTTCTCCTCCTTGTCGCCAGTTTTACTACCTGGGCCTTCCCCAGACGTGTGCCTGTTAGTGGTGGTGTTGTTCAAGAACATCTTGTCCATGCCTTTGAGCGCCTCGGTGAGATAGTTCTGCAGGGCCGTGAGCGCGGCGCAGATGGCAGGGGCGCCGAAGCCGTGCGTGATGAGGCTGAAATGCGTCAGGCAGCTCTGGATCCCGGGCTCCAGGATGGGGCTGGGCCGGCTGTTTCCGATCGGCGTCCGGTCCTGGGCCAGCAGATCCGTAAATTCCTTACACAGTTGCCTGGGGGGTGGGGGAGGAGGGGTGGACGACAACAACAATACCATCACCCTGGGTGTCGTTGGCATTGGCCTTGGAGAGGAGACCGCGCGCGCCAGCCCAGAGGCGCGCCCCCCGGCCACCCTGCAGCGAGGCTAATGCGGGCGATTCCGCTCTGTTTCCCTCTCCAGCTCTCGGTTACCTTCTTCCAGAGACTGGCAGGACAATGAGGAGCGTGGGGGTGCGGAGGACCCCTGTTATCCATCCACCCTACACCCCTTCCCATCCATTGCCCTGCATTCCAGAAGCGCAAAGAAGCAATTGGGGTAATCTGCTACACTTTGGCTTAGACTACTGAATATTCAGTCATTTTTTTTACACCCTTTTCCCCCCAACCTGGCAGTTCTTTTTTTTAAAAAAACCCCTTTTTTTAGTCCCCTCTACTCTCCCCTGCCTGTCTAACCTCTTCCCCCGATCAGGCTCAAAAAGCCCTGAAAGATTTAGGCCCCTGGGCCTCAAGCCTGCCCCACTCACAAACAGATTGCTGAAGCCTGCATGGCCCAGGGCTAGTGAGCAACTGTTTATTCCGGGAGAGAATGCTGATTCCATTCAAAGCAAAAAAAAAAAAAAATCTGTTTACCTGCAGTATTTGGGGAGGGAGGTTCCCCCTTTTTCTTTCTTTTAAGTGGAGGCTACTGAAAAATCTTTGTACTCGAGGATTGCTGTCAATATAAAGGGATTCCCACATTGTTTAAATAAAACCTAAAGGTAGATGAGTGAGACACTGGGGAGGGTGGATTTTTTATTTGTTGACGGCTTTTATTTCCTCAAGGCACCTACAATTTAGAGAAATCGCCCAGCTTTAGAAATCCAGCATGCCTAACTATGGATTGAGCTTATTTGAGAAATTTTTAATATAGAAGGCAGATAGGAAGGGTAGCCCTGGAGACCCCATTGGCTTGGCATGCCTGGCAGTGCAGGCATGACATCCCAGAGGCCACAGCCTTTCACGTCTGTCAGCCTGCATGCACTCAGGGATGGTGAAAAAAAAAAAGGAAACATGTCTGTCTATTGACCAGTCCAAGGGATATGTAATGCAGGTACCCAGAAGTCAATGAGAGAGGTCCGAAGCATCCTCTCCCAAAGGGTTACCCCCAGGAGTTAAGGGCTCCATTAGCTGGAAAATACAGGCTTCCCTCGACTTTAGCTGCAAAATGCTTTTTGGTTCTTAAGAAAGGTTCTTAAGGGCCAGTAAGGAAAGAACATTCACAAGGCACCCTCTCTCTCTCTAGTCTTTCCCCTGGTTTCTGCATTTGAAATGCACACACACATACTGACAACTGGGAATAAATAGGTTACAGTTCTGACCTGAATAAGCCAGAGGGTCTCAGCATCACCTGTGGGATGCAGAAGCTCACATCCAAGCTCCCCCTCCCGCAGTGATTCCATTCAGGGGGCTTGGGGCTATGCCCACAAATGAAAAAAAAATAGTTTTAAGCTCTCCTTCTAGCCCTTTGCTGATTCTGATACCCAGATTTTAAAAGTGCTGGCCTAAGAGAAGTCATAAGGCTTTAAGGAGGAAGTGACAAGCGTTCGTCTGGAAGAAATGACAGTCATTTGTGGAATATTGTTAGCTAATTTATACACTTTGACTTTATTCTCCCCCGACCCATACCTTGATTCTTTTATAGCACATCAAATTCCCTGTCACCTGACAGCAGAGCAGAGGATAGGAGGGAGATTTCCTGGCAGAGATCTATTATACTGCTAGTTGGTACAACAGAAGAGAAAACCTTAAAAAAAGAGGGTGGGTGCCAGGTTTTGATCATTAGAAAAGATGCTTAAAGTCTTTACTTAAGACTGTAGTCGTTACCAAAGTGCCAAAATGGAAATTCTGAGCTGGGGAAAAACAAATGCTGAGAGTCAAACATTTTAAATCTTCAAAGCCCAAACCAGGGTCTGTAAGCAATTAAGGTTCTGGGACATTAATATTTTTTGACCCTGCGGAAAGGGGCAATCAAATTCCAATCACGTCTCAAAAACATCTGGACAAATTTGAGCAAATGATTTTTCAGCCTTCCATATATTTCTTTAAATTACGCTGTCAACGGAACAAACCGCGTCCTGGAGCACTAAATAAATGAGCGCCGCCGCGGTCTGGGCCGCGCCTGCGAGAGAGAAACGTGCTGGCGCACGCAGCGCCGCCCACTGCAGGCTTGAGCCGGTCATAAAACACCAACAATATGACACCCAAGCCAAAGACAGGAGTAAATCAAATAAATAGAAAACCCACTGTAAAAGTTCAAATGAGCTCGAGACCTAAATTTAGCCAAGGATTTACTAGATTTCCCCTCTGGAGGTTGTAGTAAATTCTAAGTCTGTGCGAGATGCCACACAGCAATGTTGCCAGGGGAGTAATTAGAACTGTGGGAGGGATGGGTACACGTGGGTGACAGTTAGACACCGTGAGGGAGTGTGAGGGGCGGTCTAGGTATGCCTCAGGGATGGAAGTCCAGGCAGGAGGGGAAAAAATGCAGCTGGATCATAAAAGCACCCAGAAATGATCTCCTCCACCAGCCCAGGGTTGACATCCCCAAGGTTGGAATAGCGAACGGTCAACATTTTGGATGCGAATGAATAAAGCTAGCCTGCACCCTCCTCTTCCCACCAAGGAACTTGGAAGAGGCTGAGACAAACCCGTGACCTGTTTGGTTGGAGAGGGACTAAGAAGGTGGGAAGGAGGAGGGATGGGGGGCTTCTTTGCAGTCCACTAGATACTATTAGTTGTCTGCAAGTGTTACCTGTAGACAGCCCACAGAGGCACCTGCCAAGTGGTGGCCTGGCAGAGCAGGGGGTCAAGAAAAAGGGCGACTCACTTGGTGGCCAGCAGCATATTCTTTCGGGAGTGCAGGTCACTGGGGTCCGTGTGCTGCCGGTTCAAATACTCAGAAACAGCTTTGGCGGGAAACTCTGTTTCACAAATGTACCCAAAATCTCGAGCTAAGTGAACAGCTTCTCCTGAAAACACAGCAAAGACGGTATAAGAACCAGTACCCCGACCCTGGTGGGCTCTGCTGTTATTTACAGAAGAGACCAGCTGTTGGGGGCAAAACCAAGGACAGGTGAGACAGATGCCCCATATTTAAAATGAATCTCAACTGTAATTAAAATTGACGGCTCAAACTGCATTCTGCGGCTCCTTCCTTGTCTCTTGGCTGACCAGCCTTCCAGAAAAGTTGGAACTAGATTTCTGGACAAACTTAAAGTCTCCCACATCCTCTGACAGTCTTAAGGAAATGTTGAGATATCTCCAGCAGTTCATTTATAAATGCACTTTAGTCCCTGCTCTGGATAGTCAAATCAGATTCTTCCCACTTTTTTAAGCATCTGTCTGTCCCACTGCTCTAAATAAAAAAAAATATATATATATATTCCTGTCTTTTACATGATCTGTATTTTCCTATCATTGCATTAGGTAAAAAATTCTTAAATTATAGTATTTATTAGTAAATTATACAAACAATTTGGGAGGATATCAACCCATGTATATTAGAGAATATGAAGAATTTTATATGGAATGAGCATTTCTATCCAGCCATGAAATATCTGTTCTCCTTGTCAGTTCTCCAATTTCAGTTGCAGCTTCCTTTTCTTTAGAGGTACCTGCAATTATTCTTTTTACTTAAGAATATTCTACAGCTCAAAGCTGATACAACACCTATATAAAATCTGGGCATCTCATGGGTTCCTTAGTTTACATGGTAGCTCCTTTCAAAAAATAGCCTTATGACCCTCTAAAGCACAAACTTAGATTAGGGGTTCAAAGGAAGATCCTACACATGAAAAAGAGACAAGTTGACTTATGCTAAAGTTTCATTATGTTGAGCAACAAGAATTATTTTTAATCATCATTTTATACCAACTACCAAAGACTTCAGGCCTGGTGCTTACCAAGGATTCACACCATTGAAATCTGCCAACCAAATATCAAAATTTCAGTAGGTTTTCAGTTTCTGCACTCTCCCACCAAATTCCAGTATTGAGCTGAGATTACATTGTTTCCCAAAATAAGAATTGTGATATTAGCAATCCCCCAAAGGGCAAAAAGTAAAATGCCCAGGCTGAGAGGGAATCATTAGTATGTGTGGTCTGGAAATTTGGTAATTGCTGCCACTAGGAGGTAAATTTAGACAAGGCAACTTTTCTTTAGAGATGACACAATGCAATGTCTATAAATATGCTGACTTTATGTTTGCTGTCTAAATATTACAAAATTCCCACCTCCTAAAACCAACTCCCTACAGGAGTGTCATAATATTGCATCCATAAATATGGAAGGAAAACCAGATTTACGTGCTAGACCCTAGTGGGAAAAAATTCTCCACCTTCCTTCATTAGGACCATTTGGCTGGAGAGAAAGTACAAGGGTTAAGACCCAGTTGAACATAGCCCACTCTGGTTTGATCCCGAGCTCCACCAGGAGGGACCCCTGAACACTTCTGGGTGTGGAGTGGCCCAAAGGCCAAAAGCAGAAACAGGAAAAGGACCATCCGGCTCTATTTCAGATCCCTTCCCTAGCCCACAAATTCAACTGCTGATCTTGTTCTAGACTGTATTGATGATTCTATTTAATATGTACTAGAAATAGCATGCCTACATCCAAAGAGATAAGCACCAGAGAATGTGCCTTTTGTAATTATGACCCTATTGTTCACAAATGACGAATCTATAAGAAAGATCACCATGAATGGTTCCCCTCCATGCTCCGCACCCTTCCTCCAATTTTTTTCCCACACATCACTGGCCTTACTAAACTTCATTTTTTCAAGAACAGTGGTCCCAAGGAGCAGCAAGGGGGGAGGGGTCTTACTTAGTGTAATAGGAGTTCTAAATAACCATCTAAAAATCATTAATTCAGTTTTGTCTATTGATAATGTGTTCTCTACCTCTAAAGAGACAGAGGTAAAAATCTAGGAAAACAAAGTCTAGCATGGAGTTCTGCTCACAGTCACACTTGCAAGCTCTCTTCCAAGTAGGTGTGTCAGTCACTGTGTCCTATAGGTAACATCAGAGCTGACCCCTGCACAGACTTGGGGCATGGACCTGAAGGAGAGATCCTTGCACAAGTCTCTTGGCCTCTCCACAGTTGCCAGCTTCCTCTAAGTAAAAGGACCTCTGAACTTCTCCCAGGCAGCCGCTTGACATCCAACTCATAAGGGCACAACAATTGCAACGATTTCCCGTTAATCATGAAACGTGTAAAATGTCAGCCTTCAGCCGACAGTTAAGCTCAGCCACTCCGCCAACTGGCCACACATCTCACTTACCTTCCACCAGGGAGGTGAGTAACGTGACATTTGCTGCTTTGCGTCTGCCCGCGGGTAAATTCAAACCGATTTTTTCTAGCCTTTCTCGCAAGGATCTCCCCCCATTTTTCGATTTGGCTCTGAAATTGCAAGAATTAACATTCTGATTAACCTCGGAGTGTTCCTGAAACAAAGTTTGACTTAGCAATCTAAAGCCCAGTGGAGCTTGAAGAAGTTTTAACTTGGGGTTATACATCCCTTCCCCACCCTCCTCATCCCTGACTTTTTTTTTTTTTGCTTGTTTGTTATTTGCCTATAGTTTGCTGAGGTTGGCTTAATTTCTGCAATGCAGAGCATTAACAAAATTGAGTCATTTTTCTTTTTTTTTTAAATGGCGGAGATGGGGGGTTGGGTGAGGGGAGTGAAAAGCGTGACAGATGGGAACGATTAGGGTACAGGTTGTGGGTCTAGAGCACATAGCACACTCACAAGCTGTTTTGTCCTTGTTGTGCATGGAGACAGTGAGGGGAAGGGACCCTTGGACAAGCACAGTCTTTGCCGAGAGGCAAAGGCTGAATGCTTGGAGAGGAGAAGGCAGAGGCTGAAACAGGTGGGCTTTCGGGAGGAAGGGGTCAAGTGTCACCATAAACTGTAGTTGGGTTAAAAGGGGAAGGGGAGGCTGAAACCTGAAACTAATGATGATGATAATCATAACAGTTGTAAAACTAACACTTGAAGTTTAGGTCGTATGATAAGCACTTTATATTGATTATCTCATTTAATCTCGGCGCAGGTTTTATACACACAGGCTCAATGCCCAGGGGGATGGTTGAAAGAAACTTTCACACTCTGGGGTTCAAAGGACTCATCTGAAAATTGAACCTAAGTAGAACAGGGCAAGGGGATTCAAAACGGGGAGGGGGTAGTGGGGGGGTGGAGGGGATGTTCAAGTCCTTTCCTATTTCCTGAGGCTCTCCTCTCTGAGTACTGCCAGGGTCTGAGGAAAAATGTGAGAAGACCCCAGTTACTCTGTAGCAACTGGGCTTCTCAGTCACTTTTAGGAAAGCAGGGAATGTCCAAACCTCAAAATGGGCTATATTGGAAAGTTTATCTCCTATAAAAGTCAGCTTCAGACTTCCAGGATAGCTAGGGTTTCAGGGGAGATCCCAAATTTTCAGATCAAAGCCACCTTCCCCTCAGTTTCCCCAATATTTTATGACTTGTCTTTCTTCACTAAGTGGGGAGCATCGTAAATCGCACCGAGGTATCATTATTACTTTAGAAATTAAGTCATTGGCATTGTTGTGATGGTGCTGGTATTGAAAAAAGGGAGGTCAAAAGTCCGGAACCCAATTTTTCAAAAATGCGCAAACCTGGTGCATTGGCGGGGGATGGGGGGCTTCCAAGAACAGAGCTTAATCCAGCAGCCAACTGCGTTTTAAAAGACAGTTAAAGGGTCGGAGAGGCAACACAGTGGGTAGGATGCTTTTTGCATGCAGCAAACCAGGGTTCAGTGACCGGCACCGCCAGAAATGATCCCTGAGCACAGAACCTGGAGAGTAAGACCTGAGCACTCCCGGGTGAGCCCCGCCTCCAAACCCCCCACCCACCCACATTTTAATAAAGGCCGGGGAGATCGCTCCCTCAACCGGCTATGGCACACGCCCACCCTGAGTCCCATTCCCAGTTCCCTCCCAGCACCACAAGGTACAGATCCCTCTGCTAAGCACCAGGGGGTCCAAGAAACCCAAACAAATCAAACACCTAATAAAACAGCGCCATCAGGACGCACCGCAGGACAGGGCTGGGGGTGGGGGAGATGCTCCCTGCAATGCTTTTTCCTTTTGGTGCACTCTATAGCCCGGTGCACCCCGCCTTCGGGTTGGGTTCCAACGCCCTGGAGGCGTTACAGGAGGGCGCCCGGAGCCCCTAGTGAGCCCGCCAAGAGAGGGGTGCGAGGGGACCCCGAGGCGCTGCGGGGGCACGTGGCGGGGGGCACGTGGCCACCAAGAATCCCACTCCCCGCCCCCCTCCCCTGCACCCACGCGCAGCGCATCCACACGCCGGCCCGGGCACGGTTGCTAGGCAACCGCGTGCTGATGCTAGGCGATTCCCTTGAGCCCCCGGTCCGTTCGCCCCCCCCCCCAAAGAAGGGCCGGGGTGGGGGCTTGGAATTTTACCTTCGGAGGACGCCGCCCAGGAGTGACGCATTGAGGCATTCGGGGGGCGAAAGTCGCCTCTGAACTTCCCCGACGGTGACCTTGTACTTGGAGGTGGAACTGAGCAGGGACAGCCGGCCCGGGACCGAGCAAAAGACCTCGCCAGTGTTGACGGACATACCGCCCAGGAAACCATCCTTATTCATCATCAGAGAAGTCACAGACTTGGGGGGAACCGGAACTAGAGAGCAAGAAGAAAAAACAAAAACACAGGGCATAAAGGTGACCGGCTTTGCATCCTAGCGACCTGGCAGCCGACAGAGCCCGTCGGGGGCGTACTCGGGGGGCTGCAGGAGGAAGTTTGTTCCCAGGGAGGCTGCGATGCATTCCGAGCACTGTGCACAAACAAATGGAAAAGCCATCCCTCCTCTGGAAACTTACCCCAGGTGTGCAGACGTCTGAATGTCACTTGCCATAGCTCTGCCCACTCCACTCATCTAGAAAAACGCGCAGCGCCGGGTTTGGAATTTGGCTGTGAGATCTGGCCAAGCCTCGTGCTGGCTGTGGGACCTCAGACCTTTCTTGTAACCTCTCTGAATCTTAGTTTCCTTCTCTGCCTTCGGAGGATGATAATAGTCACATTTGATGCTAAGCCCAGAGGGTGACCACCTCCATCAATGATGCGAAAGGATTCTATGGTGCACCACGAAAGGTCTTTATGTGAACCCCTCCTTCTTCTATTGGATCCAAATCTGTGGACGGTGACCCAAGAGGACTAGAGGGTAACCCCCATGAGACCCTGCCTGAGAACAGCCACGACCTTAGTAAGCTGGAAATTTGGACCCCAGAGAGCTGCTTATTTCCCTGAGGTGGAGTCCTGTCTTTCCTACATCCTACAAAAGATTCATTTAGAATCAAACCCAAATGCTCCTCTCCAGTGAACGCAATTGCACAGTGACATGAATTTTGCTTACAAATTAATGTAAAGTACCGCTGGTGATTGTTTGGAGCAGTTATGATTTACAACAGGTGCCCTGATCAATCAACCAATCACTCTAATTCAGACGAGCAGCGGTCTTGCCTTGCCCCAGTTGTTTCATTTCGACAAGTAATGGATAACAAACCACACTCAAGGTATGTTTTATGCAGAAGTTAATAAGAGCTGACAGCTGGTTGCCACTGCTACCCAGGCACATTCAGGCTCTCCAGCCTGTATTTCTGTTTAATTGTATTTCTCTGTCATCTGCACCTCAAGTAGAGGCGGGGCTCCCTCCAACCAGAGGCTGGGAAGGAGAAACAGTTGAATGAACGGTCAACCTCCCAATTGGCTGGCAGATTCTGCTGGACTTGTACCTGACTGAAGCCCCTTTTCTCTCTGCAGATGATAAAAGACACTTCTGACTGGCCCTCTACTTTCGCCTCTTCATTTGGAATGGAAGACCCAAACCCTTAAAACATCTTTATCAATCATCACAAGTCCAGGGATGAAATATGCATTTAGCATGAAAGACAAAAACTGTCATTTTTTTTCTTTTTCATAAAGATAGTCTCACTCTATAATCCTGGTGGAGGAATTTCTACCATCTAGAACCTAAGAGCCTGAACAGTCAAGAAGTCACACAACCTCACTTGCATGAAACTGATTAACCAACAAGGTATTTTTTTATAACTTAATCTCTTTACTACGTATTCCAGCATTCATGTCTCCCCCATTGTTCAGAGACTCCTAAAAGCCAATTTGACGTCAAATCTTTTATTTGCTAAGAGTTTTGCATTTGGCTCTGTATCAATGTGGCTGATGGAAATGGTTTTCTACAGCAGGGAACTGTATGTCCTTTTGCTCCAGCTTACTAGACATTTTAGGATTTCTCTGTTACCCCAATTCTGAGACTTTATCCCAGGGTGGATGAATCAAGTCAGGTAACAGAATGGATCTTCTGCACTTTTGAACTTCAGGGTGGTGGAAAGTTCTTTCTGACTATCCTCATCATTTTTCTCATCAGGGAAGCTGCTTCCCACTCAACACAACCAATGAAAAGTGCAAGAGTGGGTATTAAAGTTGAATAAAATATGGAGAAGAGTCACTCAACTCTGTGATAGGAAACCCTGCCACTGAATTCTCCTACACAACATTCACAATCTCGTTTATTCTACCTGATAGCAATCATGCTTTCCATATTTCTGGGTCAAATTCAAGCACTCTAGACAAATAACTCACGAGTATAACAACTTCACATCAGACAGTCTTGGAAAAACTTTTCTCTAAAACACAGATGGCCTCTCTGTACCTTAAATACAGCTTGAACTATGGAAATAAATTTCATAGGCATCTCACCCTTGATACTCAGCAACATTTTCATATCTGAATGCTATTTAGAAAGAACATTTGAACAGGGAAGGAAAGAGGAAAATAATAAATTCAGTTCCTCCACAATGTCCCTTAAGGATTGGAATTTTACCTGCTCTCACAGTCCTTGAAGTCAAATCGCTTGAAAAGCCTGGCCTTTAGGGACACTTTATAACCTGGCCTCTAATTTCACTATTGTTAATTGCCTGATTTACCTGACGAGTTATTTCCTTGGGGGCATGTATATTGCTCCCTCCCGAGAACAGTACCTTTCTGCGTATACATTATCACCTAAATATCACCAATCCAGGCTGCTTCTGTCAGCAGGCTTCTGGGGTAGGAGGGTAAAGTTTTTTTTTGTTATTCTGCTCCCTCACCAGCAGCAGACAAACCATTAGAGCAGCCGCTTCAGGTTATATTTTCATTTTCTAATTTAAGCCTGAACCGTATTTCCATTTTTTGTTAAACACTGTCTCCCTCCGGTTCTTAACCTCTCTCTATTCTTGCATTGGCATCGGTCTCCTAGACTCTCCACATTCCAAGTTTCCTTTATCATCCACCTTTCTCCCCTTCCTCACACCTGCTTAGCTCCGCTGATTAGCCCCGTATTTTATTCTCTTTGTCTTTTTCCCTTCTGCTTTGCTCCAGCTTATCAATAAACCCGGAGAGCAACAGGGCCCGGTTGATTTGTTAGTAATTATGAGCCCACTGTTCCTGCTCACGGAACTCAGAGATGACTAAGATAGGTTTAAAGCGACAGCAGGAAATGGTAAGGAAATGGAGCATAGCAAAACTCAGCGTGAAGCTTTCATTTCTTTACATGTTTACAATTTTCTTTGCATACATTAAAACGGTTTTCCCCCTCCATTTTCAGTTGGATAGCATGATATAACTCCCACAAAACTCTCTTCCCTTCCTTTCCCCCCTGCATTAGGTTGGGGAAAAGAGAGGAGGTTTAAAAAGCCATCAGTATTTCTTTATAGGACTGGAGTTTTGTTTAGAGGGGTAGAAAAAAGATGATTAGAGAAAATACTGTTGGCTGGTCTACTATAGGGAGACAGGCTAGTTCTCCATCTTCTGCACTATTTAAAATTAGAGTGTACATGAAAGCATAGCATGAAGATCTTTGTGTTTGACTGGGGACGATGCTTCTGCTTATCCAATCTGCTGATGGAAAGAAGAAATGAACCCACCCAATAGATTCAAGAGAATGACTCTCCGAAAAGATCTATGTAGGTATCTTATACCCGGAAGTCACCAAGACCTTGAGCATTTCTTGAAGTACTCATCACTAACTTTATTTCTTATCTAACTGAGGGCGAAATGTTATTCTGTGTATATACATAGATAGCACAGGTACACATGCGAGCACTGAAATCATTTAAAGTAACTTAAACGGTTTCCGCAAAGAAAGCCAGAGCACAACAGAATAATAAAACCACCAACATCTTGTGTTGGCATCCTTTACAGGCAAAGTCTAACAGGCTGGCCAATGAGTTGTGTCCCGTTACTTACTAGGTACTTGGGACCTTAAGATAGTCATTTGTCTTCTCTGTTTGCAGTGGAGTGGTAAGGGAGAGGAACAGGGAAGACTTAACCTTCCCAGCATTGAAATTCTATGAACTCTAATCAGTCCCATTGGATTGAATCCTGGAGTTTCTAGTTGAACAAACACCTATTGGAATCCAAGTCAGTTTGGGGGAGAAATGTGAACCTCTTCATTTGAGAGAAGACATACCTCTCAGTGATTTTCCCCTTCTAGGTCAAAAGGAAAAATCCCAACAGAACCCAACGTAATGAAAACTGGCAGTCTCCTTACAACAACCCCCCCCCCCACACACACACACTCCAGCCTGCCTCGAAAAAGAAAATCCACAGCAAATTGTTTATGTGGGGAAGGGGCCAGAAGGAACGAACGGAGGGAAATGTGTGAGAGAAGGGAGGTTGAACTGAATCTAACCAAACAGGATATCCCTAAGACCAATGAAAATGCCCCACAGTCACAACATTTGAACCTTGGACTGAAGTCACACATTTCTTTCCAAGAAATCCCAGCGTATTTTTCTGCCATCTAAGGTGTCAAACTGATTGCCTCTGATTGCACCGAAACTTTTCCTTCAAGTCGACATCATCCTGTTTTCAGTGAGGCTGTGGGAAGGTGGCGGTGATCATTTATATTGGCTGGGCCCCACCCGCCCCCTCTCCTGGCCCAGATTCCTAATCTTAATGGAACTGAGAGTTAAGAATGATTTTTTAATGTCTCGTTGGATTTTTAGACTGTTAATGTACCGAATCCTTCTCATTATTACTTTATTGATTGCTCATTGACCAGCCCCCTTCAAATCGTATTAACCACCCTCTGCCGGTTTAGATTAGGAGAGTTTAAAAAGCACCTTTCATTACTCCCCCCGACTCCTGCCACGGAGTTGAGACTAGGCAGCTTAATGGGAGCTCTAATGGGGCAGCTAAGAGGAGAGGGGCCACGGTCCCTGCCGATTGCATTAATAGCTCAAAGGGGGCCAATACAGAAAATTAGCCGTAAACGAGCTCTGGAGATCTTCAAATGAAAGAGCCATTTATCACGCTGGCTACCTTCACTCCACTCGTTTGCTCTCTCTACTGGGAACAACTCATTTCCTCTTAACTAAATTACTTCAGAAATGTCAGCTAAGCCCACATAGCAAACATAACAAGAGAGCCAGCCTATAATCTAGGAGGTGATGTCTAACATGGGGGAAAAATTCGAGGGGTGAAAATTCAAGCCCTTCCATAGTGGAAGAGATGAAGAGAGGAGAGAAAGGGGGAAAAGGGGATAGAAATATGGGTGAGGGAGATGGACGAGAAGGGAAAAGAGAGGGAGAGGAAAAAGAGTGAGAAAGAGGAGTAAGAGAGAGTAACAGAGAGAGAGAGAGAGATCCTTTAAAATGAATTCTTAGTAACAACCTCTAGTAGGTACCTCTACATCAAAATGAGGACGAGTTATTGCACTTTTATTATCAAGGTAAAAAAATAGCAAAACCAAAACTTTTTCAAAAGACCCTTAGGAAATAAATGAAGCAACCAGAACTCTGTCAGTTCTTCTTGAAATTTATAATATTTCGTTCAGAAAACTTTCTCACCTCGTCCTGTAAGAAATGAATCTCTTGGAGATATCCCTCATTAAAATGGGGAAGAGGGAAAAAGGAAGGAAGAGAGGTCAGGGAAGAAGCTAATGAACCTGTAATCTTATTTAAAGTAATTCATGATGGCATAGAAAAATAAACCAACCATTTCTTCTTCTTTTTTCTTTGACTTTTAGAAACAAAATGGAATATTAGGGGAATTCTTTCAAGCATGCAAAAATCTGAAATATTAAAGACTGGAGCTCACCTAATATTTCATTTTTATACCATGGCCCCTAAATCAATAAATTGATGAGCTACTGGGGTGTCACTGGGATGGTTTAGATGCACATCGTTATTTTTAAAAAGCACTTACAAGTGATAAAAGTTACGTTTTCCAAACAAAACCAACAACTTTAGACAATATTCTTTGTTTTCTTATTCCTAGAGATCCCCTTATGCATAAATCGTCACATTTCACTGACAAACATAGACAAGCTCTGAAATCAAGGCATCCCACATCTAAGAATATTTTCAGCCCCATTTTGTTAGGCAAGCGAAGATCCAAATATTTTTATTGGCTTGGCTATTAATAACATTTCTGATTGGTCATCTGGTGGGCATTCCCCACTACCAACCCAAAAGCTGTTTCTAGGAGACAGAGCACTGAGCTAAGGGACTCTTGCCTTTCCATGAAAAGGGAGGACAGATTAAAACAAAATCAGAAACAGACTAAAAGCCAATGGACTAGTGCCTTCTCTCTCCCCACAGCACCACCAATCAACCAGCAATTAACCAGAGAGAAGACCCAAGAGGAAATGGAGAGAGCAGGCATTCATCTATGCTGCAAATCTAAACACTGAGCCAGGGTGTCCTAAAACACCCAAAAGATGTGGCATCAAAACAAAAATGATACTATCTAAGGAAGAGAGAGAAAAAGAGAGAAAAACATGTAGAACACCACTTAAAATAGTTTTCCCACATGCCTTCCTATTCTTTAGGGTATTATATTCCACAGCCAAATGGCATCATTTCAAAAACAGTTTCCCCCTGCCATTATCCACTTTTAAAGCTACTTTTTGCATCCTCTGTGAAGGTAGGAAAGACAGAATACCTCACCCAAGTGAGGAATCCTTGCTTCAGGATCCCACTGCTGTAGAAGCTTGACTCTATGCTTTCCAAAGCATCTTTCTTTTCATTTTTTATATCAGTGTCCTAAGGCTCAAATAAATCATCACGTAGGACTGAACCTGGGGACTGTTCACGCCAAACATAAGGACACACCTTCTCCAGCATCGGTAAGAAAGGGTTAGAGTAGTTAAAATTGTATCTCCCAATACCAGTTCTTGTGATAATTAAAGATTGTGCTGTCTACACATTCAAGTTCCTAAAAATTGGTGGCATATGAGTGACATTCAGGCCTTTTGGCAGCTCCTCTAATCGTCAGACATTCTTTCAGTGACTGTCAGAGAAGAGGGGGGAAAAATTAAGCAGCTGCAATACGCCCGAAATGAGTTATTGTAATTACATTTAATTAGTTTAATTAGTTAATTATTTTGCTTACAGCTGTACAAGAGACTGCAAACATTTGTTAATATCACATGCCCTTTAACAGTATGGGGTGATTCCACAGTCACACTAAATCATGAATGCATATGTAGGAAGATTCAGAAATGAGCCTAGGCTGTCTCAGCTTCTCAGGATGCGCATATTTAGAAATGCATTTGGAACAATTAAAAAAGGAGAAGAAACATAAAACACAGAGAACTGGGAACGAAATTACCATAAAAAATTGAAATCAAAAACAAGGAGAGAAACCGTCTCTACGACATAGGGTTTAGTTCCGTCAACTCCAGTTATCAAAGAAATAATTATAACCTTTTTTTTTTTTTGGAAAGCAGCGTTTCTCAGCCAGTTCCATAGATGGTTGTAATTCAATTATTTAAGATGTATTTAGAATTGCTACCAAATGTACCATGAGAAAGCTCTAGTGTGTCTGCCTCCCTATTTCCTTTCTCTACCTCACTCTGATTTCACCCAGTCAAAACACCTTGTTCGTGGGTTGTGAGCGAACCCGTGTGTGTCTTTTAAAATAATGGATACCTCCCCCACGTGAAAACCAATCCTAAAGACATGAATCTGCAGGTAAACTTTGCTTACTTCGAATGGGAATAATCCATACCTTTTTTTATGACAGACTGGTCCAATAGATTCATGCCGCTGTTATTGGCATCTTCAACTGACTGTGAATATAAAAACATCACTATTCAAATTGACTGGATATTAAAGAATCGCACACATAAATCATGTCATTCCGAACTGGAGTTTCTGTTATTTCCATTTATATTAATCACAATGGGAGGTTTTATTATTATCATTATTACCTCTAAATCGACATAGAAATGAAATTCGCCCAAATTATAAATTCTTCCAGTGGAAGAAGAGGGAGAAGGGAAACTGTGAGAGACATCTGGGATGCAGTATTGGCTTAGTTATTATATTAAACACAGATATTACATAGACATATAAAAGGCTATATTATTTGCTCTTATGAATTGAGAAAATTTGGCAACCCTTGAAAGATTTTCCCCCAATATTAGTAAGAGCCATTTCTGTTTTCTATTCTCTCCCAGCCTATCCTAACCCCAGAATCATTTTACAAATACATAATAGTTTACATTATGGGATTTTAATTAAAGTCTGAGCCATTTGGAATGGAATGCAAACAGTAACACATAGAAACACGTTTCAAGCCGGCAGGCTCACACACCCACTGTAGCCCATACAAGTCCCTGTGTGCGAGGAGGAACTTCTTCCTGCACTGTGACAACCCTTGAGAGCGACCTGCGGGATTTGCTTCCACTCAGAACCCTGCTGATGCGACTCCTTCCCGATAAGAGCTACACCTGTTTTAGAAGGCAGTGACTCCAGGGCACCTGCGGGCGCTCTCTGTGTCTCTGTGTCTGTCTGTCTGTCTGTCTCTCTCTCTCTCACACACATACACACACACACAAGCACGCACCGAGGGCCCTTCCCAGTCAGCACCTAACTGATGGCACGAAGCGGTTCACACTCTGCACTTCAACCCAGAGGAGGAAAGTTTCAACTCACGGGGTTGGCAGCACTTCTAAGGAAAATAACTGTTGGAATCCATTTCTGACTGTCAGGATGCACCGGCCAGAATGCTGCAGGATACTGGCGGGGCGCATCCCAGGGCATCCGAAAAGCAGGGGCCTCCCTCTCTTGCCCCTCCAGAAACAGCAAAGAAGCGAGGGCGTTTTGGTGTGTGTGTGTGTGTGTGTGTGTGTGTGTGTGTGGTGTGTTTTCCGAGATACAACTGCAGGACCGTGATCCTGAGAAACCTCAGGGTGTCCCCAATTTGTCTCCTACTCTCCGGAGCTCCAGAAAGCCAGCGAAGAGCTGGGGAGGGAGCGGGGCTGTTTACTCCAAGTCTCCCCCACCCACTCCTGCCGCATCCCCAGACAGGGCGTGTGTGTGCATCACAAGGAAGAGACTGTCTACCCCAAACAAGCAGCACATTAGAAACGAGATGACCTCACCACCACGGACGGGAGGGAGTGGGGGGGGGGGGCGCGGTAATTTGTTTCTTTTCGTTTTTTTAATAGTCACCCTTCTGTTCTCAGAAAGGTGAGGAAAATTGTTATTCCCCCCTTCAAGAACCGCTTGCCCTGTTACAACACGCCTCGCACAGTTCTTCCAGGAGGAGGGGGGGGGGGGGGGAAGAAAAGAAAAAAAAACGCGCTCTCCGATAAAACACTGCAAGGAACGAGTTGGAAACTCCCGAGGAGGCCCCGCGTCCACGCGCGCGCGCGCGCGCGCACAGTCACACACACACACACGCGCTCCACGCCTCTCCCTGCACACGTGTCTGCGGGGTGCTGCGTGTCCATGCAGGGTACCACGGTTGGCGGGTGTGTCCAGGCCGGGCACCACTCACTCTGCGCGGGTGTGTCCAGGCAGGATGCCCGCGGGCGGGCCGACCCGCGTTCCCACCACCGGCCTGGCCCGTGCGCCCTACCTACACCTTGTCCTGGCCCGTGCGCCCCTACCTGGTACACCTTGTCCCCCTCACTCACGTCGGTGCCTAAATATGTATATACGCCTCATCAGCGACGTGGGGTAGTTGTGGTAGTTAATGAGAAGGCTCTTGTCTGATTTTCTATCTAATTACGGCCGCCTGCTGGGTTTTTGTACAGGATATTCACGCAGCATGCTGGCGCTTAATCGTCACAGGGAGGGTCGTAAAGATTTAATTAGGACTGCATGCGGAAGCGCAGAAAAACAACTCAGACTCGTAATTACTAGACTTCTTTAGTTAAAAGTGATACCAGGGGCTGCTTTAAGACACTAGCGTGTGTGGCTGCGTGTGTGTGTGTGTGTGCGTGCGTGCGAGTGTGCGTGCATGTGTATGTGTGTGTTTGTGTGTGTGTGCATGTGTGTGTTGGAGATGGTGACTTAATAGCCTTTAAAAAAAATGCTAGGTTTCTCCTCATGGGTGGCAGAGGTGATGAGAGGCTAGGCACTGAAGGCTGCAAGAAGAAAAGCGATGCTTATGGCAGCTAAACCAACTCCAGGCTAGGTTGGAGGCTCAGTTCCTCTTTCTTGCTGTTGGTAATTTTTTTTTCCCCCTGACGTGTTTGAAACACCAGCTCCCCACACCCGCCTACCTCACACATGCGTGTCCACACACACACACACACACACACACACACACACACAGTGTGAAATGTAGCATACCCAGAACCCAAACAGTGATTTGCTCGTTTAATAGGCCCTGTGAGTAAATTGAAATAGAAATTGACAGGGTTTTATAGTTTCATTTAAAAAAATATTAGAAGCATTTGGTTAATTAGCTCCCTTCCTCTCTCCTCTTCCAGTCAGGGCGGTGGCCTGTGTGTGGATGTGGGTGACTGGGATGGGGTGGGTGGTGTGAATCTGGGTCCCACAGTATTCCGCCCTCTGACCAGGTGGGTGCCCCTAGGAGGCCCATGGCAGCTCCCTTGGGATGGGGAGGAGGAGGAGGGTTAGCCAGATTCCTGAACCCTGCGGAATCAACTAGAAGTGCTTCTGGCCCAGACCCTCTCTGGGCTTTTTAAAGAGCAGTTGGACACAGTGATTATTTCCTAACTTCCCGGAAGCAGTGAACGCCTTCCTCCCCCTCTGTAACTTTAGGCTGAGCGTTCTATCCTCCTGGATAGAGCCTCTGGATTTGGAAATCTTGTCCTAGAACCGTTTCCTTCTGTCTTTGTCACCTGCCCTCTTCATCACGTGCAACACAACCCGGCCTCCTGGAGGCCTGTCACTCGCAGTCATGATGGAGATTGTCCCTGCCCTGGGGTTTCCCTTCTGGGACCTCGGAGATGATCTCCCTCTCTGCCTCGCTTTGAGGGGTCCCCCTGAAGTGGTCCCTCAGCCCCCCCACCGAGACAGGTGACTGACTGGGATGTGCCTGGAGCGGGGAGGGACAGGGCAGAGGCAAGGGGAGCAGAAAACATGCAAAGACGGGCCCGCACTTCTTCCCTGTGGCTCACTCAACCTCGCTGATGTGCATCTGTGTTCCTTACCACAAACCCATCTCAACGCCAAGTTTTGACCAGAGTGACTTCCCCAAAGCACATGGATCGGGCCCTATATTTTCCTCACACCTTTGGATTTGACCAAACACTCAAAACACCCCTCACAATGCGATCTTGAAACAAAACCGAACAACTAAAACCAGAGAAATCTGCTCCATCGTTCAGGGGAGTTCCTATCATGGGTCACCTGTGCCACTCTGCCTCCAAGGTAGTGAAAATATGGCCAGTGGCATCATTGCTAGCAGCAATGGCGATGAGCTGATATACATTAATTATCTAGCACTTTGACCCATACTCTGAAAGGTTAATATAAAAACTCCCCTCGACCAAGAAATATCACCTAAACGCATTTTACACAAACTATTCAATATTGCCCCTTTTCTAGCTGCTATTTGGAAAAATGAGCAATCTTTCTAGACCGGGATAGTCAAGCTTGGTTAACACAACAAAACTATAATTCTTTTTCGCTACGGGTAAATCAGATGATTCCATCATTTTGGGAAACAATAAATGACTCGGTTCTCTTTTAAAATAATAAACTATCATATACTGCGCATAGATGACGTTCAATATCATCATCCTATCTAACTGTTCAAAGTAATTTTTCCCAGCAAGGTAATGAAGGACTCATCCACCTTTTTCCCTTTCCCATTTCATTCTTCTCAGCTTCAGAGGTATGTCTAAATTGCTCCAGAACATACACAACTATGCCAATAAGACCAAAGTATCAATCAAACGCCTTTCGACCATATTTATCTTTTCTGGAGGCTACTTAAATTAGGAAGCCAAAAGAGACCTGCTAAAAATCATCCAGACAGTCTTTAGAACTCATTTCTTTGATGTCTCTTTGTTTAGTTTAACCAAGTATTCTCAACCAAATCAGGCTCCATTGTGTTGGTTGCAGATGGAACACGGGGGGAAGTGAGGGAATTGTTTTGAGCCTTTTGTTTTAAGAAGTCGGCATCTTAGGGCTCTCTAGCGTTGCTGAGAGGATGGTTTTGACGGTAGGCGAGAACCAAAGAGGGGCATGGGAAAGACTGCTTCATAACAACCTATGAAAGTGACACATATCTCCAAATTGGCATGTATCCTCCGGGACTCCCTAACAGAACGAAGCCTTTCTGGTTCTCTCAAAAAAGAAAAAAGAAAAAAAAAATCCTATTTCTTGGGTGAGGATTCTGGAACTCAGTTATCTTGGGGGAAAACAAAAAAAAGCACTGAAGTTTGCTGAACATACCAAGTGAGCCTAGACTTGAACAAACAGCGTTTTTGTTTTTTTCTTCCGGGGTGCATCGTGACACTTCACAACATCTGCAAATCCAGCAGGAACCCTCTGGTACCCCCAGCCCTAGGCAGCTGAATCTTCACCTGCCTTGTCAGTGGGCCAGGCCCGCTATTGGATGTGCTGGGGGGGAAGGGGTGGGGGTGGGGGGAGGAGGGAGCGGTGGGGAGGGTCCCCAGCTCGCTCACACAAAGCGCTAGAGTACAGGAAGGCGAGCTAAAGGCGAGACAAAACCCATTCGGGGTCGGTTCCGAAGACCCTCCAGGGGCCAGCCGGGGACCGAGCCTTTCCTCCCCGGGGACTCCCGGGGAGCGTTTTGGGGTGCACCTCTGTACCAAGTGCACCTCAAGCGTTTCGGGGTGCACCTCTGTACCAAGTGCACCTTTGCACCCAGCGCACCTCAAGCTTCTCGGGGTGCACCTCTGTACCAAGTGCACCACAAGCGTTTCGGGGTGCACCTCTGTACCAAGTGCACCTCAAGCGTTTCGGGGTGCACCTCTGTACCAAGCGCACCTTTGCACCAAGCGCACCTCAAGCTTCTCGGGGTGCATCTCTGTACCGAGTGCACCGAGTGCCCCTCTGCAGCCTCCCCTCCAGGCCCACCCAGCGGCCGGCCGCGGGAAGCGCCCCCGCGCCGTCGGGGGCCGCCCCCCGCCCCGACCCCTCTCCCGGGCTCCGCGCCGAGGGGCTGGCCGCCCGTTACCTGCACGTCTTCCATGCCGGGGTGGCCGAGGCCGTGCAGGGAGAGGCCGTCTGCCATGCCCGCGTCCAGGCCGTGGTGGGCCGAGTGCAGGAGCACGTCGGGCCGGCGCACCGCGTGGTAGTCCCGCCGGGGGTCGAGGCCCGACAGCTGCGGCAGCGCGGCGCGGGGCTGCGGCAGGAGCGAGCCGGCCTCGGAGCCCACCTCTTGCCGCTGCCGCTGGCCCCAGGGGTGCTGCTGGGGCTGGTGCAGGGGGTTCAGGGAGTAGGGGTCGTTGACGTGGGAGTAGGGGTCCTGGCTCTGGTGGTAGGGCAGCGGCTGGTACGGGGGCGGGAAGTAGGGCGGCTGGAAGTCGGACGACGGGGTGTGGGACAGCGGCGGGGCGCTCGAGTAGGGTCCTTGGGACACCGAGCCCAGCTGGGACAGCCGCGAGCTGTGGCTCGGGACGCCATCGTGCCGGTCCTGGGAGCAGAGAGAAGAGAGAGAGACAGAGAGAGAGACAGAGAGAGAGAGAGAGAGAAAGAGAGAGGGAATAGGAGAGAGAGAGAAAGAGAAAGAGAGGGAATAGGAGAGGGAGGAGAGAGAGGGAAGGAGGGAGAGGAGGACAGAGGGACACAGGGACAGAGAAAAGAGGAAGAAAGTGGAAAGGGGAGAGAAGAAACAGAGAGAGAGACAGAAGGGGGTGGAGAGAGAGAAAGGAGAGAGGGAAGGAGGGAGAGGAGGAGAGAGGGACCGAAGGAGAGAGAGGAAAGAGGAAGAAAGTGAAAGGAGAGAAGGTAGCAGAGAGAAGAAACAGAGAGAGAGGAGGGATGGAGAGAGAGAGAGAAAGAGGGAATGGGAGAAAGGGAATAGGAGAGAGAGAGGGGAGAGGAGAAAGGGAAGGAGGGAGAGGAGGAGAGACAGAGGGAGAGAGAGAAAAGAGGAAGAAAGTGGAAAGGGGAGAAGATAGCAGAGAGAAGAAACAGAGAGAGAGGAGGGATGGAGAGAGAGAGAGAGAAAAAGGGAATGGGAGAAAGGGAATAGGAGAGAGAGAGGGGAGAGGAGAAAGGGAAGGAGGGAGAGGAGGAGAGACAGAGGGAGAGAGAGAAAAGAGGAAGAAAGTGGAAAGGGGAGAAGATAGCAGAGAGAAGAAAGAGAGAGAGACAGGAGAGAGAGAGAGAGAGAGAGAGAGAGAGAGAGAGAGAGAGAGAGAGAGAGAGAGAGAGGAAAAAAACACAGGCGACAAATGGAGAAGCCCGTACGCTCTTCCCGGGACAGAACAAGCAAGAGCTGAAACTTGGACTCCCGGGTTGACGCAGAGGGCACAGGATTTCAGCAATTCCAAACCTGAGGCTTTGGGGGGGACGTGAGGGGGGGAGGTTACCCACTTAACCCAAACCTGAGCCTTCTGTGGGGAGTGTGAAGCCAAGGAAGGGGACAGGGGGAAAAGAACTGGGCGGCAGGGGGTAGGGGGTGGGGGGGATTCTAAATCCCTTTTTGAAAAATATAGGATTTGTATAGACGGTATTTGCACCTCTGTGTCTTAAGCCCTTTCCCCCCATCCTAGTTTCTCCACAGGACCCAGGCACAACAAATAAAATCTTCATACAATCTGCCGAGCTGCGGCTCCCGGGCAGGGCCAACTTCTGGCAAGCCTGCCGGCCCGACCAGGAGCTCCCAACACAACCTGAACATTGTGGGAGCCCCGAGTCGCTAGGAAATCCCCTCATTCTTCCCTCCCCAAGAGGAATGAAATCGTTTCAGTCGTCGTAGGGGATTGAAATGAATCTCATTCAAAAATCCAATCCTGAGCCCAAGTTAAATCAAGTCGAGTTGCGATTCGCAGGAAGGTATCTCTAAGGCTGCGATTCTAGATCTAACGCCATCGTACTCCAGGGTGTGAAAAAATGAAGGGCCTGAAAAGCCCAGACAACTTATTGTTGGTCTGATTTGGAGTGGAAAAGTAAGTTAAAAGAGAAGAGGGGGGTGGTGTGTTTAAGTTCTCCCTCTTGTCCTTCGAAAGGCCATGGTAAAGTCCCCTTGGCTCTTTTTGGAGGAAAAAAAAAAGTCTCCTAAATTTCCTAACTGCAGAGGCAGAAAGTTTTTCTGTTCAACAACCCCCCCTCCCACCCCACCCCAAGCCCCCAGCTGACTCTTGGAGCTCAGACGAAGAACACACAATGCAGAAAGAAGCAGCTGCAGCCTCGTCCAATTATGGTGCTAAATTACCAAGCCAAAGGCGCTCAAAGGAAGACAGAGCCAGAGAGAGTGTGAGACAGGGACACAGAGACGGAGAGACAGAGAGAGAGAGAGAGACAGAGAGAGAGAGATAGGAGAAGAGAGAGCATGCAATTCTGGTACAACGTGAATCCAAACTCACCATGGATGAATAGGTGTGGACTAACATCTGGAAAAAAAAGCCTGGTTACTGCTCAAAATCAAACAATGATGGAAAAAAAAATTTTCAAAAATTCAAGGAGTCCAGCAGAGAAACGGAGCTGGACACAGGAACCGATCTTGAGGTGTTTCCAGGACAAGCCATCAAAATAAAAAAAAAAAATTCCCCCCCACCCCCCACCCCCAAACAAGATTGGCGACGCCTGTCACACAGACAGAGCTGTTTGTTCGTGGTTCTCTTGCTGTCTTTGGGGCCTTTTTTTCCTTCCGCCGTTCTTCGGGGGCTCCAGATGCAAGTCCTCTTCCACCCGAAGCTGGGCTCAGACTGCTGGGGCGCCCCTTCCTCCCTCCTTGCCTACACCGCCTCATAATAATTGATATTCATGACTATTAATATTACACGAGTACTTTAAAGGCAGAATGGAGGACAAATGGAGCGTGAAGCAGCAGTGAGCTGAGCTCCCCACTATTGTAAATGACGTTCATTCAGTGGAGAATTACTAGATGTAATCAGACGAGGGGGCTGGCAGAGGCCGACCAGGGAAAAAGTTTAGCAGGAAAGAGGCAGAACTTCAATTAGCTGAGCCGGGGACACGAGTCCAGGGCCCCCTGCTCCCTGGGTTCAGGGCAGTGAGGGGCAGCCCTACTGACTTGGGGGGCTTGGAGGGAACGTAGGTGGCCTTGGTCCCGGAGAGGGACTTTCCTAATGGGGAGAATGGATCGCCTTAGGTGTTTTGTGTGTGGATTAAAACACAGGGGGAAAAAAAAAAAGGCGTTGCCTCATCATTCGGTGGGGAGAGAAAAGTAAACTTGCGGGTCTGCTTGTTTACAAAGATGTTTGTGGGACTTCCACGGCCTCTTGGAGGAGATGTCGCTGGTTTATTAAAAGGCAGAGAGGGGAGAAGGGGGCTCTTCCCCCCCCCAACCCCCCCAGCCAGCCCTTCCCTCTACAGTGCTCGCAGAGTCCGCGAGTTTTTCACCTCGATTAAAAATATATGCAGTTAATCTTCAGATACACCGAACGGATCCTTTCCAGGCAAAGCCAGGGGCAACAGAAAACCTTTTTGGATGTTTCAGGAACCCGTTCAACTGGCCTGACTGCCGTTTCTGTTAAAGTTCAACCTTCTCCCCGACTTAAATAGGCCCCTGGCAGCGAGGTGCGGGTCCTCCTGTTTGATTCGGATCCTACTTAGAATTTTGAGCAGAAATCGGAGGCCGATAGGAATACCGCATTTTTTCTCACTTTCCCCCCAATCTCCTTCTTCCTCCCTACCCCCGTTCACCTTTTATTCTCTTTTTCTTTCACCCTACCCCTCCCTCTCTCCCCTCCCCTCTTTCTTCTCCCTTTTCCCTCCTTTCCCACTTGGCCAGTTTCTTTTTTCCCCCTAACCCAGGGGCGCTTCGGATGCTCCCGGCTCTCCCAAACCCCTGTCCGAAAACGCCGGGGCAAGCGCGCGCGCGCGCGCGCGCGGACCCCTTCCCCGCCAGGCGTCGGCCTCTCGGGGCGCTGACGCTTTGGAGGGGACCCCGCGCCCGGGACTGGCCCATTATCCCGCCTGTTAGGCAAAGAAAGGGAGGCTGGACCGAGACCAGCCCCCCCACCCCCCGGCAAAAGCGCGGCCACAAAGCGGGCAGGACCCCCCGCCCCCAACCCCAACCTCCCCACCCGCGGCTGCGGCAACCCCGGGAACGGACAATCTGTCCCGGCTCCAGCTCGGCCGGGTCCCCGGGAGCTGCCGGGCGCGATCGGTCGCGTTCGGACTGGGGGGTGGGGAGGGTGGTCGCGTCCTCGGGTCCCCCCGACTCCCGATCCCCCGCCTCTCTGCACCTTTTCCTCCTGGGGGGTCCCCGAGGGGCTCAGCCCGCCGCGCGCGCTTGGCCCCAACTCCGCGCCCTTCTCCAAGTTATTGTTTTTTTGTTTTTAAAGAAAAAAATTCTTCTGGTCTCTCTCGACGTCTCTCCGAGTCTCAGTTCCTCCTCGCCTCACTTGCCCCCGGCACCTCACTGGGGGGTTCCCGGCTCAGCCCGTTCCTCGGCTTCCCGCCCCGTCCCCGGCCCGCCCGGCCCGCCCGGCCCGCGCGCGCCCCTGCCCGGCCCGGCCCGGCCCGGCCCGCGGGAAACGGAGCTGCCGCCTCCTCCGGGCAGAAAAACGCTCGAACGCAGGGTAGCCTGAGACCCCTATTTCCCAATGCACTGACCCTCCAAGAAGCAAAGCACAAGTTTTAAAAAAAAAAAAAGAAAGAAAGAAAGAAAAGAAGGATAAACCAAAAAACAAAAACATGCTTTGGCTGCTGGACCTCGTTCTATGCACAAGCATCCATCCGTCTGCTTCCACCTGGCTACCTCGCTCCTCCTAGGTTTCCTCCTCCGCCAGGACCCGTTTGTTGTCGGGTTTTAGAAACGGGACCGAAAATTAAAAAAAAAAAAAAAAGAAAGAAAAGGAAAAAAAAAAAAAAAGCCCGAGCCCGGGCTGGGGGGGAAAAAAAAAAACTCAAATTCTCTCCGCTGGAACCAGGAGAGCGTTTGGTTTTATTCATTCCCTATTTTCTCTGTCCACGTTCGGTAGCACCCGCAGACCCCCAGTCCGAGCCTAAGGGGGGTGGTGGTGGTGGTGGTGGTGGTGATAGTGGTTGGAAGGGGAGGCAGGGGGTTGAGGAAGAGAGAACGAAAAATAAAAGGAGAAAGAGAGGAGAGAAAGAGAGAAAGCGAAATCTCCTAAGTGCGAGCAGTCCGATTTTTCAACCTTCTTCCAGTCCTGTTTCAGAATAGCCAAGTCTCCCCCCAAGCAGCTCTCTCTGAAAAGTTAGGGAAAGCAGAGGAAAAACCACCCCGGACCCCTAGCAGCAAAGCAGCTTAAAAATCCAAAGCAGCCGGGGTGTCCAGAAGCTCAAATTCTCTCCCTTGCAAAGCTCTAAAAGATGCATCTGGGGTGTGGGCTCACCTCATAGATATCTTCGTACTTGACATTCTCCACGAGCTTCCAGAGCATGATGGCAGCCTGGTCTCTAGGAGTTGAGTGCATTCATGTGAGGAGCAGATGTCTGGCTTCTCAGGACTCCGCTGTCTGTAATGATCCATCTATAATTGGAAATGGGGGATACACACCAAATCCGACGCTCCTCTCCCATCGCAACTTATATCTGTTGTCTCAAACAATAGGCTGGAGGAGTGAGCCTCAGCGGAGGGGAAAACATTATTACACACGCAGGAGTTAGATGCAACCCACACACACACACACATATATATTATAAAAAAAATCATAAATACGTATTTACACCCAGACTCTCACGTTCACTTATATAAGCACCCTTGGGTCCGGCACAGTCTCCCGGACTCTAAACAGGCGTTTAGAAAGACAGGGAGAGACTTTGTTCTGTGGGATTAATAGAAATATACACATTTTAATGCCTCTGTATTGGAAATGATGAATCATTGTGGCCACTGACAAGAGTCTTTACAATCTATAATGAGAAACCTGAGGGCCAAGAGTCCCCTATTTTCTATGGATATTTTAAAAGTATATTATACTGAGGTTTTTTTTTTTTTTTTTTTAACACAAAAGCTCCTCTTCTTCCGTGTTCAGCAGCAAGGTATTTTGAAAGCTGGATTTGGGGACATTTGAGGGTTATCTCTCAGTGTTGATGACTATCAACTTTTTTTTTCTCTCTCTCTTTTTCAGCTGTACCTCTGTCACTGTTGAACAAAAAAATATCCAGTCCATCACTTTTAGACCTTTTCTAACATTTTTTGGTCATTTTGCCCAACACATTGGGAAACTTAAATGCTCACCTGTACCCTTCAGTTTGTACTGTTTGTCATTTTAAGGAACTGTTTGTATTTTCAGCGGATTTCCCTGTACCATTATTTTGGCTAGTCTCCATTTTAAGGAGTTTTTTTTTCTCCTATCTTTTTCTCTTATGCAGGGAACAACATATACATACATTTACACATTTTTACCCAATGTTCATTTTTTTGAGCCTTTTTCCCCCTTTAACAAAGACACTGACCATTTTACATTTGCATCTTTACTGATAACTTTTAGGTGGCTTTAATCAAGAAATAGTTCCCTGAACCCGCTGGAAGGTTTAAGCCGAATGTTTTCCAGAAATAGAGAAAAGTATTTTAGAACTGTGGGGATTTGGTGGTGAGGGTGCTGATGGGGTGTTTCCAGGGGATTTCTTTTTTTTTCCTTAGCAAGACGGTGTGCATCTTTCTTTTCTCACGAAAAAACGAAACACGTACAAGACCAGAGCGAAGTTAACCAAACCTGGGAAATGGGCACTCATTGAAGGCAGAGCGTTTCTGAATTTCACCACCAAGCGTACAGTCACCTCATCCTCCGGTCTTGTCTTTTCTCCACCCCTTCACAGTTTCTAGTCCCGTGGAGGGTGTGGAAAGATTCCCCACAGCCAGAAGGAAAGTCCAGCGGAAGATCTTTGCCCCAGGGGCAGAAAATAAATGACAAGAGGGAATGAGGAGGAACCGGGGCAATTTGGGTGGAAGTTATTAAACCTGATAAGAGTGAATCTGCAAAGGGCGATTGTCTTTAACTCTCCGGGCTGCTGAGACCGGCGAGAGCGCGGTCAGGGACCCGGCTCTTGGAACAGAGGACTCCGGACAATCATTGCAGATATCGACTGGATAAGAACCAAGCAGACTAGTTCCATATCGCGCAGAATGAATAATCATGCCGACTCTTGATTTCATTTTCCAATGGTAACTCACAGAAGGTGCTTCAGGAGAACTTCAGAAATCAATCTCTTTAATTTCTAGGTCCCTTTTTGCTCTGGCTTTCCCCCCATTCTCACACTCTTCCTTCTTTCTTCACTCTGTCCTTCCCTCTTCCTTCCTTCTTTCTTTTTCTCTACTTTCAATACTAACCCCCCCCCCCCAAGAAAATCACAAAAAAAAAAAAAATCCGATGTAGATTTTCCTGTCAGGAGGATGAGCAAAGATCTTTCTTTCTGTCTCCAGATTTGGCTCTGGATATGAGAAAACATTCGCCCTAATTTTAATGTGTGGAGGGACTGGAAATGGGTTTTATCCTCCATTCCACCACTTTCAGAACTAAAATCTGTCCCATGCCAGTACTTTACAACATAAATGTTAAAGATTTCAGAAATTCAGGTTCTCTTGACACAGATTTATGAGTGGGAATAATTGTCTTTTCCCCTTCCAATCAATAACCTCATTATCTTTTTAAAAATATATAGGGCATTCCAATCCAAATTTTAAAAAAAAACAATATTTGGAAAAGTCTTAAGCTTTTTCTCTCCAAACACTTTGAACGCCGTTTAAAGCCTCTTTTTTAAAAAAATATACCATTGATTAGTCTCATAGAAACTCTAAAGACTGACAGGACAAAACACTGGCAGAGGAATATTTTTCTGTAGAAAACTTAAATATATATATGTAATCCATTGTTAATGTGCTTACATTATAGTCTTTTATATATATAGACTTCATTTTTTAATTTTTATTCGAAGCGAGTATTAGGAATTTGAAAAAAAATCATAAACATCTTTAAATGGTGATCATTAATATAAATTCTTTAGGAAAACTGACGATACCTACAGCAAAAAACATACATACAGCTATGTAAAGAATACCTATAGAGATACACAGCGACAATTAAAACCCGAGTCAATTTTTCAAAGTGGGCGGTATTCAACAAATCCTAGAAATTGTTAAAGGGAATTTTCCTAGGGAAAGCGTCCCTAAGTCATTGAGCGGGCAACAGCGCCCTCTGTCGAGTTTTTTTGTATAAGCAAATCCGGAACAGCTGCTCAATTTCTTTGGATTTTCTTGGGGGGGCGGGGGGGACCTGTTAACTTTGAGAGCTTTTGACAAGTCCAGCTATTTTTTTTGTTATCTACCAAATTTCCAAACTATTCCAGCAGCCAATGCATTCTAACAGTCAGAAAATGCACAGGTAACAGCCCAGTCTCTAGTGAGGCTTCCCTTGGTGACTTTTCAGGTGCATCTCGTGATGCAGAAAAAGCTCCCCGCAAGGTCTCGGTCCACGCACACGCGAGGGCAAAAGGAACCGACTGCAAAGGGAAGCTTGGCAAGGGAGAATGCATTTGCACCATCGCTTCGTTTTGCAGTGCATCTTGCCCTGGGCCCGTTATTTCTGCATCCGCTGCGCGCTGCAGACACCCCCAGCTCGTTACATTTGTTTCCACCGGTTCACTTGTATTTATTTCCGTCGCCCACAGCAGGGGGGAAGGGGGAGAGCGAGTCGGAGCGGGTGAGTTATCTTTTTTTTTCTCAATCTCTTGTTTGAGAAAGGTTTTTTTTCCATAGGCTTGAGGAGCCGCTAGTCGCAAACGGACACAACCCAAGTTGGAGCCCTCTGCTGGCGATTTTCGGAGTTGACTTAAAACTTCATTTTTTTAAAAAAAAATTTTTTTTATAACAAATACGATTTTTCTTTTAATTACCTGCGAGTCCAAGTCAATTGCTAGCCACACCCCCCCTCATTTCTTTTCTCCTCCAAAATTAAACTCATGAATTTTCTGAATTTCTCAAGCTTTCCTGTTTCTCATCTTGGCACCTAACCTAGCGCAAATTATATACCCTGGGGGAAGGGGGTAGATTTTAGACATGATATGGTCTGCCTGGGTTTTTTTTTTTTCCTTTTTCACCTTCCCCAAACATAAACATAGTAGTATGGAGGGAAAAGAAAAGTCTTAGAATTAGGATAATTTTTTTTTAAATCAAGATGATCTCTTTTCATTCTGGCTTGTTGGGCAAACTATAAAATAGTCTGCACTTTGGTGTACTTTACAATGAAAATGGGATTGTAAAAGATCCACCAAAATAAAAGCTGTGAGCCCAGTAACAGAGTTGTGTGAACTGAAGAGGTGTGATATAAAAACACAATTATTACTCAGCAATAAGAAAGATAAGATCTTTCCCTTTGCCACAATATGAATGGAATTGACAGGGTCATGCTTAGCAAAATAATCTAGAGAGGGAAGAAAAAATGCAAAAGAAAGCAAGGAAACAGACAATGATGGAGAAAAACTAAGACTTGGGCTGGAATATTAGCACAGCAGGTAGGGAGTTTGCCTTGCACGCAGCCAGCCCGGGTTTGATTCCCAGCATCCCATATGGTCCCCTGAGCACCACCAGGAGTAACTCCTGAGTGCAGAGCCAGAAGTAACCCGTGTGCATCGCCGGGTGTGACCCAAAAAGAAAAAGGCCTTAAACTGCCGTGGAATTGAAGTTATCACAATGAGGGCATGTTAGTGTTCAGAGCAGAGGGGGTCTCGTGGAAGAATCCTGTGGATGGTGTTGAAGGGATATTGGCATTTTGATGGTGGTTGAGGTGTGGTAACATCATCCCCCTAAGACACACAAACAGGGGCTGTAGCGATAGCACAGCGGGTAAGGCCTTGCACGTAGCCGACCCGGGTTCGATTCCCAGCATTCCATATGGTCCCCCAAGCACTGCCAGAAGTAATTCCTGAGTGCAGAGCCAGCAGTAACCCCTGTGTATCACTGGGTGTTGTCCAAAGCAAAAAACAAACAAACAAGAAAAGACATACAAACATTTACACTCCTGCAAGCAATGTTACCTTAACAAAAAAAAAAAATTAAAATAAAAAAAGAAGTAGTTTTCAGCTCTCCTTTCTTCCTTCTTTCTCAAATTAGAAAAATCATATTTTCCAGAGTTTTTTGTTTTTCCCCTGGGCGAAGAAGAGAGAGAAACCACTGTTGACTAGCTTTGGCCTGTCCCATGGTTCCCTGTCTCCTTCCCCTCAGAAGCTTTATTGTTCATCTAGTTGATGAGTAAGACTTGACAGATGCCCTTTCTATTGTTCCAGTATTTTTCTTTTTTCTTTTTTTTGTTCCAGTATTTTTCAACCATGATTACACCTTGAAACTTTCTCGTGACCATAATTGACTTTGAATCTTGTTTATGTATTTTAATAAGGATTTGTTAAGAATTACTGTCAAATAGGCGAAAATACAGTTTCAACTCCTGCCCTGAGATTTATGGGGCTCAACTACTAATAGTTTATGTGATTGAGTTTGAAGAAACAAAAGCAGGAGAGACTAATGTTTGCATACTTTTTTTTTTTTAATGTAACAAGAGAGCTGGAGTGGTAGTACAGAGGTTAAGGCATTTCATGTGTTTGCAGCCTGGTATGTCAGATGGTTCCCTCAACACTGCCAGGTGTCCTTCCCCTGCCCCGTCCTGAAACCAA